CGTCCGTCTCTCCTTTTCCCCCCATCTTCGCGCATTTCTCATCTTCCCCTTCTTCCAAACCTCAACGCACGCTTATTTTTCTCCACATTTTGTTTTCTCCGACTCCGTCCTCTCGGTTAACTCTATTTTTCACCCTCTTCTTCCTCTCCCATCTCCCCTTAAACTAATCCGTTTCTCCTGTTGTTGCCGAGGCTGAAAATACGAGCCTCGTCGCCGGCGCAGTCATTGTGTGTCGGACCGAGTCTCGTGGTTGGGCGCGCATGCGCAGTGAATTCTTAAGAAGATCTCGCGAACGAAGGCGCGCGGCCGAAACGAGGGCTGGAATAGATTAAAGGGGAAGCAACAGGGGGTAAAGGAGAATTGATAGAAGCGGAGGGAAGGGAAACTGTGTTTAAGTGGCCATTCTGCCAACGAGAGATCGCGTATCGGGGAAAAAAAGCTTAAAGTCTCTTTGGGGGGGCTTAATCGTTTGGCGATAAGATCGCGATATTTATCTCGATCGCACAATTAACCCCGCAGCTAACCGGTGTTGTGTACCGGCCACGTAATTGCGGACTATCCGAGCGTCCACGTCCACGGCCACGTGTAGTAAGATTGCAAATTTGAACAGGGAGATTTCCCAAGCCGGATATTTTATCGTTCGCGCGGATGGGATTTCGGAATTGTTCGAAGAGGCGAAGAGATCCGAAACGCGATGCAACCAGATAATAATACATGGGTTGCAAATTGAAGGAAATATCCGTTCGCAAATGGACACGTTTTGCCCGCGTGCGTGAGGGGATCCTGTTTGCCGCGCACAATGTTTCATTCTCGACGCGTTAAATTGCAGTTTGACTTCCGTTTCTTAACTCTTTCGTGTCTACTCTTTCACGTGATGAGATGATACTCGGAAAATAAGCCCATCTTCTTTGAAAGTTTCTTTATTTTTCGTCGATGATTAAAAATTCATAAGGTAAAAGGATACAATTTTTTTTGGATATAATTTCTTGAGAATTTGTGACTTTCTTATTAAAATCTTTCGATTTTATAATTATAGAAAAATTATGGAAGCTTATTTAATAAAAAATTATAAACTGTTATTATATCTCGTAAGATTATTCTGTAGATCTTCGTTATTTTTTCGGAATTAATTGTCAGAAAGCGCATCACTTTTCATGACGACATTTGGTTACAATTCCATGTTATGAAAACCGAGTGACCTCGAGGATGAAATTCCATCTGATACAGTTACCGCCATTTGTTCCAACGTTTAAATTTTAATTAATTTTCTAAAATAATATATTTGTTTTTAATTGAAGAAAGCAGAGAAATCGCGTTTTCTAAATTTCATTATGTGAAAGAAATTACGATTTTACGAAGCAAAAAATATTGTTCGAAAATCTGATCTTATATTAAATATTTCCATTAAGAAAAAAGAAATTCTACTCCTAATTTTATACAAAAATTCGAGATGAAATTCGAATCAAATTAATCGTTATATTTGCCAAATAATCAAAAAAATCAAATCAAGAATAAAGGAATAGAAGATAAATAAGAATTTTTATTTAAAAATTCGACACCTAAATCAAATTGATCGTGATCAAGAGGGGGGGGGGGGGGGAATAGAAAAATATGTAAATACGAGCAGATTGCCAATGAATCAACAGTTTAATATACAGTCAATGGATGATTTATAGAACGATATCTGCTCTTTATCCAATGGATCCAAGTTATTCGAGCTCGAGGCACCAGTTTGTTTCAAGATTGGATGCCGGAGGATGCGAGAGTCGTATAATTGCGACCATAAACCTAAAGACTGTTTAATGATATTCATCGCTACAATAAGATGCCACATTTCGAATAGCTGCGTTGATTTCATTTCTTTAACCGTATAACACTGTTGCATTCATAAGAGAAGAATTTATGGCGAAATAGAATATAACTCCGAGAGAATTGGCAAATATCCATTAAATATCCATTAAAGCTCATTTTAGTTACAAAGTTTACTTTCCAATTATTCTACGTATACAGAATGGATACTTCAATCATCTCACAATCATCTTCTTTAAAGATATTCAACTAACTACTTTTACAGATATTTTAAAGAAACTTTCATCACCTTAATCATTCGTTATCTCTTGAAATAGTCCGTTAGAGAATCATCATCTGAGTGAAAATATGTTCACACTTATTTTTCTATCTCAATTATTCGCTCCTATCTTAAAATAAAAACTATCCAATCCCAATAATTCTATTCTTTTCGAATTTAATTGCAATAAAACAATATACAAAAGAGCGATAATTTCTATCTTCGATAATTCGATTTCGACGAAACACCGCTAGCGAATCGGAATATTTATTACGATTGAACGGTAAAGAAATATCGATATATCGATTCGTTCGAATAATTATCAACGAATATATATATATATAATCCCGTACCTGTTGCTCGTGTGCTCACTTGCGAAAGGGAAATTTATAGAGAAGTTTCACGCCACGAGGACACACGTCGATACACGTCGCCGCCATTTTTGATGCGATTCCCAACGGGAGCAGGATCCACGATAATTGTGAAACAAGCGTGTTTATTACTTAACCCGAATTGCGATTTGGATAAGTTGCCCTACTGATAAATTACGTAATATCGTATACGAAGTGTTGCGCAAGCGAAGCGCGGTCAATTTTATATATAAAGGGGCAATTGCGAAACGCACGATCCACCTGTAAATACATCAACTGTATCCGAACTAGAATCGAGCGGAGCCAATTTAAACCGAACAATGAAATCTTTTTCTACTGACATCATTTGCACGGAGGGGAAGAACTTGGTCGACGATCCCGTTTAGACAAAGTCACTGTACCTCACCTATTAATAGGTGATGCATCTTGTGAAACATCGTGCATATGAAAACAAACATGGATAGTTAGCCACAATGAGAAGATATATTGCTTAATACAGTTTGAGTAGTCTTAAATTTATACTTCTCAATATTGGATTGTATATCGATTTTTCATCATTTTTCTTTTTTTACACTATAAATTAATCAATCAAATGCTTAGAAATTTTAAATAAATCTTGTATATTCGATCCTCTTCGGAAGTTTCGAGCAGAGAACTGTACTTAACACTAAACCTACCAATTTCAATTCATGTATATACCTATTTCCTACCATGAGCGATCAAATTACCGCTGCGAAAAAACATTTGTATGTATCTTAATATAGAAAGAGATTTTAGCTAATTGGATTCGTAAAGTAAACGATACAGAAAGTTGTTAATATTGAAAAATGGGTTGTATCTACATTATAGAGAAAGTTATATGGCGATACAGTAACTTTGTATACAAGAAATTCTAAGCGAAATTTCAAAAACGGTCGTGGCAGGTTTAAAAGGTGAAAAGACGATGATGTTAAAAGGTGCAGAGACAAAGGCACTTTCTTTATGCGAATAGCATTTCCGGTACAAGGGGGAAGGCAATCTTAATTAGGCGTTAAAAGTAAATGCAAGTTAAAGGAAGGATTATCGCGTTAGAAATTGTGTCAGCGTTAAGTAGCATTGCGATCATAGAAAACGTACGTGTATCATATGATAGGGCACATTAGAGCAATTCGTCTCTAACATAGCGTAGGAGAACTCGTAGAAACGCACTCCATTAACATACTTGGGCATTAAGTGATCGCGCGTCTCTCGGCGCCGTGAATTACGCGCGGTGAATGCTGAACGAGTCTCAAACGGGCGCATACCAATGATACGACCGAGTGACTGACTGACTGGCTGATTGACTGATTGATTATCGGTCGACTTGTGTATCCTCGTGTCACCGTGACATGAGATCTACGACGAGACGCGAACTCATGATCGTGATGATATCTTGAGCGCATCGCAGATGACGATAGTCGATGGATGATGATGGACGTCGCAAATTATACACGAGGATGAATCATGGAACAATTATTGGTTGTGCGAAAATAAATAAATGTGCCGTGCAAAAGTTGTAAGAGAAAGAGATGTAATTTAATGTTATTAATTTCTTTTGATGTGAAAGACACGCGTTTGTCTTTTTTAAAGGGACTTATGTACTTTTTAATATCCATTTGTAAAAAAAATTAATAATACCAAATTATTGGTTTCCACAGCACGCAACTTTTGTCGTGCAATAAAAAGAAAATGTACACACGCATTGCAATTCGATCTTTTGCATATTTCAGTTCTTAGTACTTTTTTAGCAGAAATGAAAATTATGGGGATTATAAAATTTAAGTGCTTGATTGATTATTTTTTCAACAAAAAGTCCCTAGAATTATAAGCGACAGATATTTGAAACATTCATTTTTAATCTTCTAAAATGAATTATAGATTAGAAATAAAAAGAAATGAGTTTGCAATTAATTAAATTCATCGATGAAATCAGCGATCATATTTCATATAAATCTTTTTTTATCCTTTAAACGAAGATATTAAAAAGAAAATCCTATTTTGTTTCAATAAATATATAACGGAATATCTTGTGCAGCTGTAAAATCAACAAAAATTATGTTCAGAAACTGGATTTAAATTCGCGACAAATTTGGTTTCGCATTTAGCCTCAAAATTCAAGGTTGCCAACATTCACGGATTCGTCGCACCGATGGTGTCAACGGCCTTTCAACGGTTTTATTTTTATAACAACCGTCATTAAGGTTAGGTTTTATAACTTTCTTTTCTAACCGCGTTGAATCGCTAGGACGATCATCGCTTATATTCGTCGCCCACGCTCTTTCCGTGACTATTCATCTTTGTAACTTGTCGTTCAATTTTCACGATCCCAGATTTCACTCTGTTCACGGTGAATTAATTTTACTTTGTGTCATTAACTTTGTGTAGTAAAAGTATAGTGTATCGATACATAACCTCTAATACCGGAACTCGTATCAACCTCGAAACCTCGATGAATTTCAGATTTCCATCTTTGAGAAAACAAATATACTTTCGTTCTATTTTTACATTCGTTCGATCGTCCGTATTATATTTGAGGCTATATTTAAAATTGGTGATATTAGCTTTCACCTTCGCTTTCGTCTGTATAAAAACAGAAGAGACAACACGAGAATCTAGGCGGAGAAAATATAGGGTGCTAAACATAGCTACCCTTTTTTGAATTGTCGGCACCGTACAAAACTTGACTCTGAGATGCAGTTCCATTTTAGAACTTGTTTCGCTTCTTGCGTCTCGTTAAGACAGGTTCAAACACGCGACTCAATGCTAGATACGCATTTCGCGACCTCTCGCGGTACGGTTTCCACGTCGAATTGTCTTTCGCCTCGACGATCACTTTCTTGACGCGATCGCGTGGCCAACGCTCATTCGATGAACGTGCGACATCTGATGCGAGTGTGTCAATGACTGGTGAAAGGTATCAATGGATTTTCCTCTACTGACCCACGACAAGGAACTTTCAATCTCTAGTCACCTACACGACGATTACGCGCTTCTACTTACATAATCGAGGCAGGTAAATATTATTCCATTACAACTGATACTTCATGACCCCTTTCCCTTTTCAAGTACGATAATGAAATATGAAAATACGAAGATTGCTAAATTGAAAATTTTTAAAATAAACACTTTTTATTACGATTGGAAATTTTCCATCTTTTTATTTGTTCGTAATTAACGAATTAAATGGATACAAATTTTTATTAAATAAATATTTTAAATTCAATAAAAAAACCAACAAAATATACGAAATTAAATTGATAATCTTAATATCATGAGTATATATATATATAGTTTATCGGAATCCGAGTTTAGCCGACATTGCCCGATTTTAACCGAAGATGGTCGGGATTTCGAATTGAAATAAAGATTAGAATATATATATATAAAATATATAAAAGTATAGTATCGAGCAAGCGAAAAAAAGTGAAATTTATCGAAATTGGACTTCGTTGCCACTCAATTTAACCCTGATGTATATTTTCAAATAATCCGTGATCTTATAATTTTCATTAATCAATAACGATTACGTGACAAAACGAAACGACCTCGAGTTACGATGTCCCGGCGCAAACTGGTTCGATGTGCAAACGGAATATATTGCCGATCCGGCAGGAGGGGGGGAGGAAAAAAACGCGGGTAATTTGATTTCATTTTGAAATTACAGACCACCGGCCATCGATCATCATCTTGGCCGTGTTTGTTGCGCGCAATACTTCACCGTTCGATCCAGATTTACTGTTTAAAAAACAGTCACGATGCGCAATAAGTTGACTATATCATTCATATCGGGACAAGAAATAATGAGGCATAACGATATCGTGGTATCTTAATAATATTGCGTGGCATTATAAACAGCCGTATAGATAGATAAAAATATTGATTTTTTTAAAAATATTTTGACAAAGTATCAAAATAAAATTCCTTAATTACGATCATAATATAATTATGATCTTGTCAATCTCACGTACAGGTATAAATTTCTTCGCTACGTTTAAATTTCTACATTAAAGATACTCGAATTTTTCGTTTCCCTAAAACGATGGATGGATACTCGTTACTACAAAATCCTACGTTGAAAAACACGTGGTATAAGATTACTCGATCACTTTGCATCTTAACACTGATTATCTCGCGTACCTCAATTCGAATATCTATCACGAAGACGCGTAAGCATAAATTCCTATAAAACGAAACGCGATCAATCTTGAAGCTTATATACAATCAAATATATAATATTTAAACAAATCCTTCGTGGAAATTAGATATTATAAATATTTATCTCGCATCCTGTCCAGACTCATATAACTTTCAAAAAACGGATGCAAGATTATAAATTGCTTACTTATGAAAATTTACACTGTTCAAAATAAGAGATGCGAGAAGAACATCGTAGCTTTGGAAAGATTGCAATTTCAATTAAGAGGGTAAACTGTTCTACCAACTTCCAAACTTGCTATGCCAATGCCAATATCGCAACTGATTAAAGGCTTCGGCTACGTCTCTCGAGAAGACTATCGCCGAAAACCGAAGCATGGGAATCGTAAAATAAATTTCTACGATATTACGCTGAATCGATCTGTTGGGACACGTTTTAACACGCTCTCAACGTTTCTGCATTGTGTGTAACCGCAGACACAGAGGTAACGACGGCGGTTGCCTCAGCTCTGACAGAAGTTGACCTTCGTGAACGGTATAGTGTAGCCTTTCGTTCGGCCTCAGACAGTTCATCCTTCGTGCGTTTCCAACCACAGTTACAGATCACGCTACCTTTGGGAACCTACTCGACAATGGGCCAATAAGAGGTTTACGGTTTCCACGATCTCGATGGAATCAAAATATTCCCCGATGAAAATTCTGTGAATTCTCTCTTTTCGAAATCGACGATAAAAATCGATCGAGGAGACGGTACGATTGATCTCATCGAAGAAGAATTCGATATACAAAGAAAGGAATCGTCGTACCTTTTTTTTTTTTTTNTAGGGAATAGTTGAAATGTTTATTGGCTTTTATAACGGAGAAGAGGGGACCATTTAGGTATAATTAAGAAGGGATTTTTCTAAATTCCATCTAGGTCAACCCTACGAAGTGAAATACGAGAGTCAGTTTTCCAAATTTTTTTCTCCCCTTTTTTCCATCCTTCAGTTTTTCAATCTCGTACATCCATTCATTTCAACGCCATTTCTCCATCATTCTTCCGGTTTTTCGACGCGGATGAAAAGGTGGATGGAAAATTGTCTCTGGCTTTCTCCGATAATATTTCTTTCTCCCTAATTTTTGCGAGAACAAAATGCGATAACGAAAACAAGCAACGATAATGGAAATATTCTTGGCGTTCGGTTCTTATTCGTTAAAATTAAGCTATTATCTATGTTGAAAATTAAATTTAGAACGACGATTAAGTGTAATGATTCATTTACCATATTATAGAAATTATATTATTTACATTAACGCTATTATCGCTATTATTAAATCATTTCTCTCTTTTTCTATCGTTATCTCCGATTGTTCACGGTGAAATGAATATATAGGTTGCTACCTCAACGTGTAGAAATATGGCTTGTTTACAATGTTACAACCGTTCCGATAATAAACCGTTACTGTGCCTTTCTATGTCAAGGTAAAATATATATATTTCTTTTTTTTAATAATTCAACCAGATAGTAATCTCCAATAAGCGTTACAAATCCAAGTATTTAAAGACAAAGAAATGCGTAAAAAAAAAAGAAAAAAAAAAAGGAAATTAACGAAAGGGAAAAAGTAAGGAAGAGATTAGAGAGTTCGTCGTGGTGTGAAACGAGCCTAAAGAAAGCGACGGTGTAAACCTCGGCAAATCCGGCCAGAAGCCTTTGTGTTGACTGTTCTTGGCCGAGTGAACGAGCTTGAAGGTGGAGAAGCCAGATTCCCTTACCGGTTGAAAACGTTTTAACCACCTGCTTCCGAAATTTGATCGCCCCTATTCTTGTATACACTTTCCACGGTCTTCCCCTGTGTTGACACACCGACGGAGAGAGAGAGAGAGAGAGAGAGAGAATGAAGATGGAATTGGAGCCGCAGGGTCTAAATAAGTTGTCAAGATGACAAAACTTGATGGAGGAAAGGAGGTGTCAATAAAAGTGGTAAAAAAAAAAAAAGAAATATTCGATAAATATTTTTATTTGCACAATGAATATCATTCATTGGAATATTATTATTCGAACGACGAGGAGAATTGCAAGATACGATATGATAAAAAAAGATGCTGCGAATAAAAAAGTAGAGGGAAAGTTTTTAATGTAAAATTTCATTTTCGATGATCTTCTGGTCGAAAAGTATGGAAGAAATATATTACTATATCATATATACGTCAATAATTTATACTACAGTTATTGAAATAATTATTCGAGATAAATTTTAGCCAACTCTGTTGCTTTGGAGCGTCTTGGAAAACTTCAAATTGGCTTTCTGGAAATTCTCAATTATTTAACTTGTACCTCAAACATCTGGTAGTAACATCATTATTTCTGTTTGATCTACCGGCAGGATCCTCCATTAATTTCTAATAGAAACATCCAACCGTCGAAGGGAACGCTTATCATCGATATTTTTAGCTATTTTACATTGAATCGAGAAACGGATACACCGTGAAGACATCTATCCCTTACAATACATTACTCGAGGTTATTATCAATCAAAATGCCGAGGGTAAAGTTTACGACTGTCTTCAGGGTGAACGTGCAATAAACATCCCGTGAAATTCCACTGTCGTCGTAAAGCAAAAACGAATTTCTTCTTGGGCCAGTGATGTTTTTCGAATCCATTATGAAGTTATATATAGTTGAAGACAAGGTTAATTCGAATCGAATGAATCAAAATTTTCGAGCGAATAAAGAAAAGCAATGATTAAAAGAAGAAAAATTTAAGACAGATAGACGATCGCGATCGAATCGAGTAATAAAAATATACAATTTTTTTTTTAACAACAATTACATATTAAAAAGTTGGCAATGATCGTTCGAGAGGATGAAGAGAAACGCGAAGAACAACGTAGGAGTAGAAATAAAAATACAGGGGAAAAAAAAAGAAAAAAAAGATTTACGCTCCCTGTGAATAATATCGCTCAAATCCACGACATTATTAATTATGATTCGTCTGGCGACCCACGGTACCCATTGAGGGATTTGCTATTTTTATTGCCAACGTTCAACAACCACGACTCTCATTTAATACGTACGCTGTTGAAGAGTCAATGGAAAAAGTTGCATAAACCTGCACCGCTGGAAACGTAGTCCTTCGCTTGAAAGCAACACGACTGGAATAAAAACGAAAAAAAGAAAAAAGAAAAAATTGGGAGGAGAGAGAGAGAAGGAAAAAATGTGAAAGGGACGTGTTACCCCGCGGCAGATTTAGGCAAGAATTTCGTATGCGGGTTTAGTTAGCGTGGAAAGTTATTTCCGTCAGAGCATAACCGTGTTCCGTTGCGCGAGTCTGAAGAAAAATCGCGATCGGTGAACCGTCCGAAAGAATTGAGAAAAATAATCTGGAAAACCGTGATATAGAGGAGGAATTTTTTGGAAGGAAACAATTGAAAATATGATACAATGGGAAAAGATAGAATTATGAATAAATTGTGCAGGGAAGAAGAACACGCTTCAGAATTGAAGTATAATTGTTGTGTACGTATGAATAATTCTCTAAATTTTTAATTTCCACTCTATGCATTACATCCAAGTATTATTGAATTATTAATAATTCTTGAACCAAGCTATATATCAGATCAGCTGATCCTATAACCACGCGCTATTAATATTAAGAATTCTTGTTGTCGAGTTTCTATTTACCCGTACGAATAAGTTTTTCCCCTATACATTCGATTCGTTCTCGGCATGCACTTTCTTTCTCGATATTCGAACGCGCTTAATGGACCATTAGCAGTAATGCTGATCATTCGGATGCGATAGATCGATCCACGATTACTTTTAACTGTCGTATATGGGATACGAAAGCTTTTTTGCTGGATAACGCGCAGGCGCATAG